TCCCATTCACTTTGAATGGGTGACGTCAGGCGTTGCCGAACTGCCTTGTGGATCCGTCAGCGCTGCTTCAGAGGCGTTGCTCGCTGCAGAAGTTGGGACTAGTTCAACTTTTCAAGCGCCGACGGAAGAGTCAGCCAATCAGATCGCTGTATGCAATTACAACAGCTAGACAGTGGCCTAATGCTGACTGATTTTCATTGGCTGACGCTTCTATGACAATCGTTTCAACCCCAACTTCAGACACGCCTTCAGTCAAGCGTTGACGCTGAAGCCCCGTGTGAATGGGGCGTTAATGTACAAGTAGATGAAACTTGAGCTGCGTCCCAAATCGCATACTTACACACTATTCTATGCCATTTTGTAGTATAAACAGTGTAAGTAGTGTGTTCACACTGAAAACTCTAAAAATAACAAGTGCACTTTAATTACCCGGATGATGCACTCATTCAGCCACTAAAATGAAGTGTGTAATGATGGACACTTCACGCACTCAACGACCGCAGGTTTGCTTATGTAGCAGAAGGGGCGGAGCTATCGGGCGCACATGTTGAATAACTTTATTTATTTTGGATGGTGAAAGCAAAATTCTCTTACTAGAGTAATTATAGAGCCTCCCGATGGTGAATGCGGTTATACTCACGGCAGGTATTATTTGATCATTTGGTTGTTTATTTCACCGATTTAACCGTCAAACATCATCAGAGAAACGGGTTGAATTTCCGCTTAGTAAAAAAAACATTAGTGTTCCATTTGGGACGACACTACATACATGTACTATACTGTTGTGTGTGTAAGTGCATAAGTACATAGTGCATGAGTGCATAGTGTGCCATTTGGGACGCAGCTTTGGTCATTCTAAAGTGGAAGCCGGCGGATGTGCAACAACTTTATTCATAAGGTAATCACACAACAAAAGTTTACATCTAGAGTAGGCAAAGTTGGCCCATGGTAACCTTTGATTTGGCCCTCTGAGAAGAAGAGGGAGAATTTTGGGGAGTGTTGGGGTGAATGTCTTTAATACACATTGTCATTTCCAATTTGTTTTGTTTTATTTTTAAGCTACAAAAAAAGCATGTTGTAAATGGATTCAAGTTACTTTAAATGAGCATATTGTTGCTCAACGGATAGATCATAATTCAGTAGACAATGGTCTACAGCCAATCAGGATGCAGAACACAATGCGCAAATCAGGACGCAGAACACAATGCGCAAAATCTGCAAAACTGCGAGGCAGAGAAAGGTGAACTGTGTTATAGCAAGGGACCACTGTAATGCGTCTTTGAAAATTAACAATTGATGCCAAGTATTGCTATAATTCTTGAATCAAAATAAGTTTTTTTCGACTAGTAACGCTACTTTAATAATACTACTGTGATGCTAATATAAAATAAAACATCTTAAATCGAAAGTTCATTCAAAACTGAAAAAATGTCAACATTTACTCACCCTTTACTTGTTCCAAACCTTTTTTGATTGAGTATTTATTTTTCTTACTATAGAGGTTTTTCAGCTTTCTTCAAAATATCTTCTTTTGCGTTCAGCAGCAGAATGAATCTCAAAGGTTTGGAAAAACTCGAGGGAGAGTAAATACTGAGTAAATTTTTGATTCAATTTGGCTGTGGAGCTTTAACAATCATTCTCAACCTTCAGCTAAAGACTCTTTCCATACAGAAGGAGAGCTTAGTAAGCAAACTGTCTCTAGAAAGTTCCCTGGCCATCACGGCACATGCACGAACCCTGTGGGAGAGAGCGAGGATGAGATTGTAAATTAACAAGGGGATGCAAGAGAGGTTAGAAAATGAGAGAGAGTTGTGGCATCTTCACGCTAGCTCAGCAGGCCTGCGATTAGCGAGGGATTGTGAATCTCTGGCTCATCGCCACTGGACAAACATCTAATTAATGGCCATTAGAATCACAGCAGACACATCCTCTAAAAGAAAGAGAAACATCACATCTAGAGTGCGAAATTAACCACAACTGCAAGAAAACAAAATGTGTGTACAGATAGATTGGTTCAACAAGATCCCAGCGGCAAGCAGTTCGTCTGTCTGCACCATACGTGATACGACAGAAGCATTTAAATACCACAGAAATGCAGAATATGCAGAAAAGTGGAATCGAACTTGTGTACATTAAAGCTCATTAACATTAGTAAAAGTACCTGCTGAATGACTGGTCATGTTGGTTTGCACAGAGTCAAAGTTAAGCTGTACGTTTGCTAGCTATTTTCTTTTAAAGATCTTCTGGCACTTTTAGTATGGAAATAAATGGCATGTAAAATGTTATTTAAGCACACACTGGTAACGTTTAACAGAATAAAGCACATGATCAGCACGCGAGGTGATCACTGTTATAGTAGTTTATGCTGTTGTTCAGCTGCGGCGTCACTGTAAAACTACTTGTCGTTGATGGACAAAAACTCCTTTTAACATGGAATTGACAGCTTTTGTCATGTCACAGCTTCCCGACAGGTGTAGTTGGGACATGGTGTCATGGAACATCTGTAAATATTGTTATGAAACACCTCAGCATAATGGATACAGCTGACAACAAAACGTAACAAATTATTTTAAATGATTCATTACAAATTGTGCAGAGTTTTACACACTTCCTTCTGTAATCAAACATTGTGAAAGGGTTGGGTTAATCTTAGGCAATATTTGCCAGCAGCTAGCTCTCTGCAACTCTCACATGGTCGCCCACTGAAGCCTGGTCACTACCAGGATGGGAGACTACATGGGAAAGCTAGGTTGCTACCAGAAATGGTGTTAGTGAGGCCAGCAGGGGGCGCCCATCCTGTGGTTTGTTTTAGTCCTAATGACCAGTATAGTGACGGAGACTCTATACTGGTCAGTGAGTGCCAGCTAGAGGTCTGCATTCCCGCGGGACCCAACCAGATTTCTGCGGCGCGGGAATAAAGAGCGGGAGTGGTCGGTAATGGGTTTAATTTGGGACGGGATCTAGCAATATCGCTTCCGACTCCCGAGCGAGCACTCGTATGTGTGTGTGTAAATGAAATAGCGCGATGCTGTGTTTAGCTTGTTTGTTGCTGTGTGTGTATGTGTGTGTGCGCACGCTTGAATGAGAGGTGTGTGTGTGCGCGCGCGAATGAGAGAGAGAGAGAGAGAGAGAGAGAGAGAGAGAGAGAGAGAGAGAGAGAGAGAGAGAGAGAGCTTTGCCTGTGTGTGTGCTTGGTGCTTGTGTGTGTGTTAGTGCGCGCGAGTGAGAGCTTTGTCTGTGTGTGTGCTTGGTGCTTATGTGTGTGTGTTTATACAGACAGCTTGTTATAGGCTGTCTGGACTCTATAGCTGGGTGGTTTTCGGTTCCGTTCTCCCCCCGCTCTTTAGCGGGATCGGGCGCGGTGGGGAGAAAACGGGGCGGGTCGGGCAGCGGGACAACAAATGCTGAATGTAAGTGGGAGCGGTCGGGTTCCGCGCAGGTCTCTAGCCCCAGCTTTCGGGTGAGATGATAAACCAAGGCCCCGACTCACTGTGGTCATTAAAAATCCCAAGATGTACTTCGAAAAAGAGTAGAGGTTTAACCCCGGCATTCTGGCCAAATCTGGCCTCTGTCCATCATGGCCTCCTAACCCTTACCATATCATAATTGGCTTCATCACTCTGTCTCCTCTCCACCAATCAGCTGGTGTGTGTGGTGTGTGGTCTGGCGCAATATGGCTGCCGTCGTGTCATCCAGGTGGATGCTGCACACTGGTGGTGGATGAAGAGATTCCCCCAATGTGTAAAGCTCTTTGAGTGTCCGGAAAAGCACTATATAAATGTAAGGCATAATTATTATTATTTGCTAAACCTTTACAGGCGAATTTGTTTTAAGCTCTGAGGTTGTTATTTGATGAACCCATAGGTTAGCTAAACTCTACCTAGATTGGGTTTAAATAACCCACCATTTCATAAAGTATGGATTAACCTAAACATTGAGTTAAATTTGGTCCTATTAATTTAACAACAAAAAAAAAATGACCCAGCAGTTGGCCTTGACCAAGAATAGGGTTGAAGTCACAGCATTTTTTAAAGTGTACAGTACTCCAATTACATTACACCAATTAAAGAGTCGCACCACCGTGTATATACAGTATATAGCGTCACATCACCTTCCCTCATTTGTCCCAAATTACGTGACATCAACCGGACAGAGAAGCTTGGCCGGATCGTGTGGATTGAGCATGTCGTTATTAATATTAGGAGGAAAATAATTATATTTATGCTTTTTTGGAGACAAACACTTTGGACAACGCTTGAACTAAATTAAAAACCTTGTAAAAACTCAATTAAGACTTAACTTTTTTTTTTTTACTTTTAAGGGCCTCTTCGTTTTCTCATAATTGATTTATCAACTTTTAATACTTGTAAAGACCCTGCGGACACCCTGGTCTTGAATTTTTATCTTTTAAAATTATTATCATACTTCAATTCAAGGTGTGTAATGTTGTGACACTCCTTGTGGCCAACAAATCCCAATGGGAAAATGAACAGAAAAATACTTCAGGAACTAAAGCTGCTGAAAAGTGAGAACGTGAGAATTCACCTCGAGAATTTCTGCTCGTCTATTAAGAAGTATTTAATTAAGTCAGAAATGGCAGTGGTGACACATTTCTTACTAATACTAAAATATAACAAACCGAATTAGACTTGTGCTAATATATGACACTGTCAGCGACACAATGGCGTCTTTGACACACAATCCAAGCAGCAGCAGCAAGAGGGAAAAAAAACGAGCAGGTTTAGAAAGTGAATCCTGGAGCCTGAATCCATATAAAGGGACCTGAATGATGAGATGATAAACAAAAGGCTGAAAAGATAAAAAAAGACACAAGCCTCTGCTTAATCAGCTGTCTGCAGGAATGCAGGAGAGTCGTAAACGCAACATTTTCCTAAATGATGCTCCTGCACACGAGTTGTTCAGCGTCTGAATTGCTCTAATGAGACATTAAGTCTTGTGTAGAGCGACCAACAGTTTCTCGTAAACAAAACGGCAGCGAGTAAAGAAACGCACAGACTTTAATTACAAGAAAACTGAAGTTGTACAGACACAAAATATCTATCATTAAAAAAACAACAAATAAAATGTGTAGGGTGAAATCTCGCAGAATCAGCCACGTTATATTTAATGCTTTCCTACATTCTGGATGAAGACTGGATGGTTTTTAGACATCTAGTCATCAGCAGAAACGCAGAAAAAACCTACGCCCAACTCCAACTGGGTTTTTAGAAGTTTTCAAGTAGTTCCATAATCCTCTTCTGCTCGCTTTCCTTAAACTCCTCGCTCTTGCCGTCGCCAATGTTCTCTGCATATTCTGAAAAACGAGAAACAGGGTGTTTAGTCATTTGGATGAATTTCATGAACACCAAGAAGCCCTGCCAAGAAAGCCTTCCTAATGCCGTCTCAAAGGAAAGGCGGCATACTTTAATCCGGAAAAAAATAAAAATAAATAAAAATCAAAGAGAGAATTTGTATGCCTGAAAGTGTTTTGAAAAAATTTGTCACACATCCCTCGACTGCCCACCAGAGTCTATTTTCAGTCCTCCTCCTCCTCCACGTATGAGCCGAAAAAGGAGGCTTTAGAAAAGCTGAAGTCTGCAGTCCAGGGTTTGAGGTGCAGGGATTTTAGTAGCGCCATCTTTGAACGGGCAAATAGCTTTAAGAGCTGTTTGATGTGTGGCTTTGAGAGCGTGTCCCTCAGTCTGATCAAATCTGCCGTTGTGTGATTGAGGTCTGGCTATTTCGGGACACTCCAGTTTCTTGTAACCTGCAGCGAGCTGGAACGCTGCCCGAGAACTCAAAAGGGTCACAGACGTTACAATAAAGGCAACATATGCTTAGAACCTGACTTTTATGACTGCTCTGGAGCAAAGAGATCGAGGACATTTACAACACTTCTGCAATTTACACAGATTGAGCTTGAGAGGATCTTATTGATTTACCTGGAAATCTCTTCCACTAAAGCTCTGGAATGACATTAGCATCTGCACTGAGATCAGAGAAAATGCTTGAGGACATTTTGAGCCAGGTTTTACATCACTGCTGGCGAACAACACTGCTTCATGGCCACTTTGAAAATGCAGAATGAGATTTCACCAATCAATCAAACATTATTGTGGAATATTTCTGAATTCATTATAAAAGATTTATGCATCACATCTTATAAGCCTGTTAGAGCACTGGCAAAGAGTCTCTTTTGAGAAATCGATTCTGCGTTGATTTGGGGATTTTAAAATGCATCACTATTCTATTTAAACTAAAGCGCCTCCTGCTGTTAAATAATAGCCTAGAGCACCGTCTGCTGTTGAAAACTAACCTAGAGCGCCATCTGCTGTTGAAAACTAACCTAGAGCGCCGTCTGCTGTTGAAAACTAACCTAGAGCGCCATCTGCTGTTGAAAACTAACCTAGAGCGCCGTCTGCTGTTGAAAACTAACCTAGAGCGCCATCTGCTGTTGAAAACTAACCTAGAGCGTTGTCTGCTGTTGAAAACTAACCTAGAGCAACATCTGAAGTTAAAACTAGCCTAGAGCACCATCTGCTGTTGTAAACTAGCCTAGAGAGCCATCTGCTGTTGTAAACTAGCCTAGAGCGTCGTCTGCTGTTAAAAACTAACCTAGAACGCCATCTGCTGTTGAAAACTAACCTAGAGCAACATCTGAAGTTAAAACTAGCCTAGAGCACCATCTGCTGTTGTAAACTAGCCTAGAGAGCCATCTGCTGTTGTAAACTAGCCTAGAGCGTCGTCTGCTGTTGAAAACTAACCAAGAGCAACATCTGAAATCAAAAACTAGCCTAGAGCTCCGTCTGCTGTTGTAAACTAGCCTAGAGTGCCATCTGCTGTTGTAAACTAGCCTAGAGCACCATCTTCTGTAAAAAAAACTAGCGTAGATCACAATCTGCAGTACAAAACTAACCTAGAGCGCCATGTGCTGTTGTAAACTAGCCTAGAGCGCAGTCTGCTATTAAAAACTAGCCTAGAGCGCCGTCTGCTGTTGAAAACTAGCTTAGAGCAACATCTGCTGTTAAAAACTAGCCTAGAGCACCGTCTGCTGTTGCAAACTAGCCTAGAGCGCCATCTGCTGTTAAAAACTAGCCTAGAGCGCCGTCTGCTGTTGAAAACTAGCCTAGAGCGTCATCTGCAGTTGAAAACTAGCCTAGAGCGCCATCTGCTGTTGAAAACTAGCCTAGAGTGCCGTCTGCTGTTGAAAACTAATCTAGAGTGTCATCTGCAGTTAAAAACTAGCCTAGAGCAACATCTGCTGCTGAAAAATAGCCTAGAGCGCCGTCTGCTGTTGAAAACTAGTCTAGAGTGTCATCTGCAGTTAAAAACCAGCCTAGAGCGCTGTCTGCTGTTGAAAACTAGCCTAGAGCGTCATCTGCAGTTAAAAACTAGCTTAGAGCGCCATCTGCTGTAAAAAACATGTAAAAAACAAATATGCTTGCGTTTTCAGTCCCACATACATAGTAAGTGAAATGTAGACTTTTAAATAATGTAGTTTGGATGAAGTTGTCGGTGATTCTTCCTATTGTAAAGTTATGCAATGTGAAAGCCTCTGTTGTCGATCCATCTTGCAGTGTAAACAAAGCAGCGACGAAACACTAGCCCAGATAGACATGCAGTGGGAAAACATCTGACACACGACGACTTTGAAAATCATGGTGTGAAATTTTATTCATGCCGCTATATACATCACAGACAAAACAGAATAATGCAATAACTCGCTTATTTAGGATGGCTTTTAATACTTAATTGTATCTGCACTATTGTTGTGTATACTTTTATATTATTCCTCGTTGTTTTATAGCTCTTGTTTTATTGTATGGTGTCCTTGAGTTGCCAGAAAGGCCCCTTTAAATCAAATGTATTATTATTATAATATAGGTTTTTCCCCAATACGTTGCAGCCCTAATGAACATGTACCTTTAAAATAACAACCTTTTACAGTAAGAGCAGCAATGTGTGTTAACAAAAAAGTAAAAAGGGTCCATTTTGATTTCATGCTGACTTTAACAGAAGGTTTTTGGAAGAGTACACAGCAAGCGGCAAGCGTGTAAAGGTAGACATGCTCTCGGATTAGTTTCTAAGCCCTGCTCAAGCCCTGGGACAGAGGATCAAACCCAATGAGAAATAAATAAATAAATCAATAAGGTTTTTTAAAGGGGGAAAAAAATGGCACAAAGTGGCAGAGTGAAACACAAGCCCGAGGGCTGGAGACAGCGGCTGAAATAACACAGAGGGAGGATTGGGGGAGTCTGCATGCTGGATGATTTGAGGAGGATTATCCATTATGAGCTCCGAGATGCTGGAAACTTCAGCTTCCCACTGACACCAGTTCACACAGCTCAAGGTCACGCACGTAACAGAATGACACACTCCGTATGACTCAAATGTGGCCTTGGAGAGCATAGAGGCGTCTGTAGGCGGTTTCATTTCCCAATTTCCACAGTAAAAACACAGTCGCCGGCAAACACCGCAAATGAAAACCTCCCCGCACAAAGTGATTTCTACCAAGGTGACAGACATCTACAGGAATGAAATTAACTAGCGAGATTTAATAATAGGATGATGAAACTATATAATATTCAGATAGCAGGATAGAATAAAAGAATCATAAATAAAAAAAACTAACCAGCCAATGACAGGTGTGACAAAAACAACATTGGATGAAAGAGATGGATGGATGAACCAACAGAGCAACGAATGAATGACTAGATAAACAGACGGACAGATGGACCAACAGAGCAAAATATGGATTAAATGATGGATGAATAGACTAAAAGCAATATGGGTGGATGGTCCAACAGAGCGATGGATGGATGGATAGATAGACCAATAGAGCAATATTTAGATGGTTAGATAGATGGACTAATAGACCAATATATAAATGGATGGATATATGGATGGATGCATAGACCAATATATAAATAGATGGACCAATAAAGAACTATATGGATGGACGGATGGATGGATTTATAGACCAATATATTAATAGATGGACTAATAAACCACTATATGGATGGATGAATAAGTAATAGAGCAATGGATGGTTGGATGGGGAGACTAATAGAGCAATATATAGATGGGTGGATGGACTAATAGAAGAATATATGGATAAATGAACTAATAGACCAATATATTAATAGATGGACTAATAAACCACTATATGGATGGATGAAAGAGTAATAGAGCAATGGATGGTTGGATGGGGAGACTAATAGAGCAATATATAGATGGGTGGATGGACTAATAGAAGAATATATGGATGAATGAACTAATAGACCAATATATAATTAGATTGAGCAAGAGCAATATATGGATGAAAGGAAGGAGCAATAAATGGATGGATGGATGGATGGATGGGCAGACCAATATAGCATTATATAGATGGTTAGATGGATGGACTAATAGACCAGTGTATAAATGGATAGACCAATAGAGCGATGGATGGATTTATAGACCAATATATAAATAGATGGACCAGTAAAGCACTATATGGATGGATGGATGGATGGATGGATGGATGGGCAGACTAATAGAGCAATATATAGATGGGTGGATGGACTAATAGAAGAATATATGAATGATTGAACTAATAGACCAATATATAAACAGACAGACCAATAGAGCTATGTATGGATGAACGGAGGGAGCAATATATGGATGAATGCATGGATGGATGGGCAGACTAATAGAGCAATATATAGATGGATGGATGAACCAATAGAGCAATATATAAAGGGGTGGATGGACTAATAGAGCAAATTATGGATGAATGGACCAATAGAGCAATATATTGATGAGTGGACGGACTAATAGAGCAATGTATAGATGGGTGGGTGGACTAATAGAGGAATATATGGATGAATGAACCAAAAGAGCAATATATAGATGGTTAGATGTATGGACTGATAGACCAATATACAAATAGATGGACCAATAGAATACTATATGGATGGATGGAAGGAGCAATAGATGGATAAATGGATGGGCAGACTAATAGAGCATTATATGGATGGACCAATAGAGCAATAATATGAATAGATGGATGGATTGACTGGCTTATAGAGCAATACATGGATGGATGAAATGACATAACAATAAAATAAGATGGATGGATGGATGGATGGATGCAACAATGCATTTCTAAACAATTAATGGCTAAATGATAAACAATGGATGAATGAATTGAAAGATAAAAAGAAGACTGATAGATAAATGGATGGAACAATAGAAAGAAGGATGGATGAATGGATGGACAGAGGAGTCTATGGAAGGACAGAATGCAAGAGAGAATGACAATGGATGGATAAA